AAATTTTAATCAGAAATATTACAGGCATAGGAACCGTGGGATATAAAAGATATTTCACGTTGTATCATGAGCACAATGTATTACCACAGGTATTCAGTAAAGTAGTACTGTACGGCAGTATAGATTCAGACAGACGTACAAAAATTATACTAAATTTTGATCGTACGTACGGTTAATACATTAGACATCACTTTCAAATTTTCGTCAATTAATAATAATTGACATTCATGAGTTTAAATTTTATACTGATTAAAATGTAACGTACATATATAAGTCTAAAGTATTTTTTTAAAAAAAATGTTTATTGATTTTTTATTATTTTCTTTGCAAAATGGTTAAGTAATTCACTTTTTTTCGTTTCAACCCTTAGAATGAATTGTTGACAGCTATGTGAATAGTCGATTGCAGAAAAAATGAAAGAGGTATAATTGATTATTCAAAATATGATCTTTGTTTAGCTGTTCTAAAAATTCACAAAAACCAAGGTTCTTAATACCTTTAAATTAGTTAAAATTGGAGTTATCGATGAGTTGAATATTCGGTTGGATAAACATACTGTGAATATCCTATTGAAGATTTTATGAAACACGGTATCTCCAAACTCAACTAATAAGTATCACAATAAGAAATTGATTAAAATACAAAAAATAATGACATTACTCTGTAATATGAAATAAAACTTTTTTTGTTGTAAAACAATGCTTTTCGTACTTTCCAATGTAGTTGAGTCGTATTCTGTTATGCATTCTTTATATTTCAAAATTTTATGTATTAGCCTAGTGTTTTCAACTTCATTAAGATGTTTTTTCTTTGTTGCTTAAAGTAGTTTTAATAGTGCAATCGTATAGTGTTAATGTAAATGACATAATTAATAAATATATAATTTGTATGTGTTTTTTTCTTTCTCAATTCGTAATTTATTATTGAAACGATACCTTACAATTTTAACGTTATTTACGTCAATTTTTAATTGACGGAAATTTGAAAGTGACGTCTAACAAATACAGACTTGCGAAATTCGATTTTTATAAATAAACCTTTTAATGGTTAAGATCAAAGCTAGTAAAAAAAAAAAAAAAAAGTAGAAAATTTTTCTTTTACAAACCGTACGTACTATCATGATTTCTATACGTCCGTCCTAATTTGCGTTTCCGTACTGTACTACTTTACTATATATTCATTACCACGGCTCCGCCATGCTAATCCATCATATTCACAACAGCCCGTGAAATATCTATTACATACCATTCACCGCACCGGATCAGACCTCTAAGTAGACATATGGGCTGATCGGACTCATTTGGTGTGATATAACAATGTGATATCTGCATAGTTACACTAATCCGATGATCATACGTAATGTCTTTGTCCAAACCTTTTTTATGTCTTTTGTGCTCCAAAACCTATTTGACAAAAAGTTTGTTACTATCTCACGAAACAAGAAAGCACCCACACAACCATACTGTGCCTCACAGCTCTTGTTTTGAACTTCCTTCAAGTTGGTGTCTGTGTCAATTCCGCTCAATCTTTCTTGCGAATGTAAAATCTCGTCTTCATACTCACCGATCAGCTCAAGGCTTCAAACAATTCACCGTGTACTGTCCTGAAAACCTTTTTTATTACGTGTTTCACCAAGAACCAGGGTTTGAATACCAGTTAGCCCAACGAAAATATAAATGTGCATTTAAAGGACAAGACAGGTACCAAAGAATTGGGTATATTTTTGCGCATCCTGCTTGGGGTGAAAAAAAAACAAAGACGGGAAGTGAGGTTAGAGTAATGACTGAAAAAAAAGATTCTGAACTGCAACAAATAATTGAAACTGAGTTTGTCTTTTTTTGGAAAGAGCAAACAACTAAGGAAGAATATAGCGGGGAGGTTTATGCTTGGATATACAGGTTTTTAAAGGTTACATTCGAAATATATAAGCGTAATGTAGTTGTAGTTTAGACTTTATTATTATTTTTGTTTAAGATTTATAATCTTTTTATCATAAGATAGAGATGTTTCATTTATATAATAATAAAGTTGTCTATTTTTATAAGAACACATATCATAAGCTGCAGATGTTGAAGAATTGCTGCCACCCATCGTAGTACCTCTATAAAATACTTGAACGTGGTTGTGGTTCTTTTTTTCTACACCTGAACATGAAAACCATCGTAGACATAAATTTTTTGTTTTAAGAAATTTCATGAATTTCAGAATATGACATGCAAGTACATGTATGTAGGGAGTAACATCGTCACATTGATAGAGTCCTTCTTGTAGAATTTTTCCTTCTTTGTTTTCGATTGTTGGTTGACAAAATTTTTTAACCCATTGCCGTGCTAAAAATTCGAAATTAACAATATCTTCATCCATTAAATCAATTTTACGCATTGTATTATATAAAAAAAAAAATTATGCCAGAGTTTTTGTATTTCATTTTCACGTTGACCTAAAATAAATGTAGCTATGGGAAATTTTTCTAAAATTTTTAATTTATTTGGGCCCATTAATGATGTCCAATGCCATTTTCCTTTAGGTGTTTCAGGTTCAATGAACTTAAAAATATTGATACCCAGAGAATGAATGGTTGATTCTATTTGTTGTCAAATTGTTATTTCATTATTTTTTTGTTTTTTATTAAATGTTGATTTAATGATAATTCAAAAAAAAGACATTCAAATAAAACATCTGTAATACGAAGCATTACATGTAATTCGTCCGGTACAGAATGTTGTTGTTTCAAAAAAGGTAAAAGATTTAAATTTTTTCGTCCCTGAGTATTGCATAAATTTTTATAATCTTTATTCATATCCCAATGGTCCATGCTTTGCAATCACAATATAAACAAAAATAATTTGCTGTTGGTCCTTTAGTACCAAGAATTAATGACATGAATTTCCAATCAGAGCCAAACCAAAATTCAATTTTCCAATAATTATTATTTGAGTCAATAATTCCTTCCATATTTAAAGTTGTTAATTCACTAATTAAAAAACTAAAAACTATTTGAAGAGATTCATATTGTTCCGTACTATTATAAAGAAAAATGCAATGTTGATTGATGAGTTTAAAACCATATCATGCTCATTTAATATACATGCAGTTAGCATTACATGATTATGGTATTTGCCAACTTGCTGCCCATTTCCACTTAATTTAATATGAATAATGTCTCCTAATTGTAAAACTGATAATTTTCCGTATACTAATTTAGGAATTAAAATAAACAAAATATCTTTAAGTGATCTATAAACTCCATTTAAAGTTTTGGAATTAACTTGAACTATGTGAATTAGAATTTTATTATCCATGATATTCGTTATTTCATGTCGACGATTTTTAATTTTATATTCACGCACAATATCAGGCATAGTTGCTGCAAGCTGACGATATGCGTCACGAGAAATCAACAACTTATCACAAGCGCAAACAATTGAATCTAACAATTGATTTGATTGAAATTTTTCAAATTCTGAATTTCAAAAAATAACAGGTAAATTATTTACATTTAATTCTATAGATTTCAACACAGTATCATGGAAGTTATGTAATTGGACTGAAGACTTAATTCCATCACGAATATCACCAGCCAAGATTTTGAGATGTTTATTTTTTTGTGACTCAGATTGAAGTTCGTGAAATGGTTTTTTTCGTGATTGAGCTTTAAAAAAGTTTTGAACTAGATTTCGATGCTTTTCTAAACATTTCAGATCAAGTCCAAAAAGTATAACCCCAGAAAATTGTGAATTACTATGACCCTTTAACTTCTATTTTATAAAATATATTATTTATATAAGTATACTACAACAATTTATTAATTTATTCATTGTATTTTATTAATTAATTACAACCTGCAAAAATAAAGCTGAAGCATTACTAGCCGATTTATTGCTTGAGACAGAGTGTTTTTTTCCATTATAACTATTCCAAGTAATTGTATATATAACCTCTCCATGGAAATCATACTGAGTTTCAGCAATTAGACTTATACCATAAACCTTTGTGCTAACCATATACCTATTAGGAACCGGATAACTACCTCGTTGAGTTCATTTTACTTGTTGTGGATAAAAACCAAGGTGTAAAATTTTGTAAAGAAATTGCTGTTTTTTATTTCTAGTAAGTCGAGTTATATGTATATTTGGATAATCATCAATAATTTCCAAGCTAATAGTTTGTATATTATCTTGCTGGCAAACCTCTTGAAGAGGATAGCGAGTGGAGCCAGAACCTTGAATCTTCTTTAAATGTAATTCGGCCATTTTTTTTTTTGTTTTTTTTTTGTTTATTTGAGAAAGGTGTTCTTTTTTGTTATTAAAAAAAAAAAAAGAAAAGTTCAAGAGTGTTTATTCAAAAGCGCACAGTTTAAATGAAGCTAAAAAAAAAATTTATACAGTATAAAGGTGAGTTAGAACGTTATATTATATAAATAAAAATATACATAACTGTAAACAATAACTATTGAGCATGGGTAGATTTTGGTTGAACACCTACCTATAACCACACCGGCAAAAACTCATTACCAACTCATTGAAAACTCATTACCAACTCATTGCCAACCTGTTTTTCGAGTTTTTTAATAGGATAGAAAAAAACGATTTTTTTTCTAGAAAGAACGATTGTTTGGTATTTCAAAATCTTCTTATCACGTATATAGATCTGATTGGCACATCTTGTTGTACTAATCTGGATGATCACTCTCAAATATCACTCAAATGATCATCCGAAAATCCTACTATAAATCTTTATAATATTTATAAAGCCTTGTACTAATGTCAATGCATAAATATTCTCGTACGTACGTACATATACTCTTATCATTTAGAAATGTTATTCTATGGACATCACTTAACATCTATTTATTTCATATCCAATATATAAATGATTATTATGATGTTCACATATTACCAAATTCCCTTTATTTGAAAGGTTCATTTTAGGTTTAAATTAGTGCATCTCGAATTAGTATAAATATAATTAGGTTTGGAATGATTTTTATAAAAAAAAAAATGTTTCTACCGACCTTAAGTTCTTATTTTGCAAACTGGACCTCCATTATATTAACATTACTTATAATATATGTAGCACACTTCTACTATGAATATTTTACTCGTCCAAACCCATTGCCAGGCCCTATACCAATTCCTATATTAGGGACCATTCATATAATTGGAAAAAATCCTCATGCATGGTACCAAAAAAACGCTAAAAAGGCGGGAACGATTTGGGAATTTTATATTGGCCATCAACGAAATATAGTTATTACCCATGCTAAACATCTTGAAAAAATTTACAAACCAAATCCAACATTTTTTAAACGACCTGAACTTTCTATCTTTAAAAAATTAGGACTTAATGAAGGAATATTTTTTAATAATGACTATAATACGTGGCACCGGAATCGTAAAATAATAGCCCGTGCATTATTAGCGCCGAATTTTCTTCGAGGATTTGTATTCAATGTTCAAAAACTATTCAAAGAATATGAGGATAAATGGAAACTAACTATAAAAGATGGTGTAGAAACTGACTTTTGTATATGGTTAAAGTTCTTCACAACGGACATTGCGATTGTTCAAATCACAAAACGACCAACTTGCAGTTTAGTTTCATTTGACACAAGTAATGAAATAGTTCCCTCAGAAGAAGAAAAAAAATCGTTGGAGTTAGCTAATGCCGTAAATGCCTTTCTTGAATCGCTTACATTTTTTACGTTTACCCCCTTGTTTATAATGAATTACGTACCTGGTTTTACATCAATCAGAAAGAAAGGCGAACGTAATATTAGTTTTATTAATAATACTTTAATCAATATTGTTAATAAAAGAAAACAAGAATTTAAAGAAGGCGCAGTCACAAGTTCGGATTTATTAGATAATTTATTGATGGCTCATACTATACAAAATCCTGAGTATAATGATGATAGTGACAATTTAGCACCGATTACTACTTATGAAGTTAACGCTGTTTTATGGGACGTTCTATTAGGTGGCATTGGTTCGGTAAGTGTTAACTATTCTTTCTATATATAAATAATTGTCCGAAGCGTAGCGATGACCATTTTAATTCTAGACAAAGTGATGCACATCTATACAATGTTAGATGGCTCTGACTAATAAAATTCGAGAACTAAAGTTTATACGTTACGCTGTAGCTGATGTAACAAAGTGCAGCAGATAATATTATTTATGCTTCGGACCATTATTAGATTCTGATTTCTTAGTATTTAATATATACGTATATTGGTACTTATACTACTTATATTTAACAGACCAAAGATGTATTCAGTTTCATGGCATATAATGTTGCAAAAAATCCAAAAATTCTTAACAAGATACGTAAAGAAATCGATGAAGTTTTTGGGTTTAATTTAAATGATTATTTCTCTATTGATAAAATTATAAATTGCCGATACATTGAAGCAGTAGTTAAGGAATCAATGCGTTACATTGCACCGGCACCGTTCACAATAAAAATTTCAGGCACCGAAGAAAATATTGCTGGATATAATTGGCCAAGCGGAACCCACTTCTGGATAGATCATCAAAATATTTCAAACAATCCTGATTATTGGAATGATCATGAAACATTCAATCCTGATAGATTTTTAAATGAAAATCGTGTTAGTAATGCTTTTACTCTGTTTGGTGGTGGCATCAGAGTTTGTCCTGGAAAAAATTTGGCGATGAATTGGTTGAAGACCTTGGCAGTTCTATTTTATAGTAAGTATAATATAAAATTAGTTAAAGATGAAAAGATCAAATACCGTTTTACTGGCGCGAATGTGCCTTATGATCTGAAAGTTAGAATCAGTCTAAGAGATGATTCCTCTTCATTTTCCTAAGGTATACCTTAATAATAGATAAGCATAACCTTTTAAAATATTTAGTAGAAATACACTGTTCAGGCTTATACTGAGTGGATGACATTTGCACGGAACTCATCTGTAGTTTAACAAATTTTGATGTAATTTCCTCATATTAATAAACATTAATAAAACGTCTTGTGGCGTCCCGAGAGTAAATCTACGGGTTAAAAAAAAAATAAAATAAATAAGCTCTGTTCACTTACACAGGTCAAATAAAATATCGAGTATATATATATGATAATTATCGAGTATTTATAATATCAACTATAATTTGTCACTCGATTACACGAAAAGGTTCACACAACTACGAAATATACTAATCGGGATATCGCCTCGCTGCTCACGTGGTCCGCAGTCGTTTCCTAGGATCGTGTTAACTACTACTTCGCCTATACTTCT